CGATGAGAACGGAGTTCCTTCAAAGGCACCCAAATCTGGACAGTCAGATGTTGCGCAAGTCGGTGATGCTTTGCGAAATACAAAGTTGAATCCAAAATCCGCAGCCCCTGCTAAAGGTTATGGACAGCACAGTGCTCAGGTAACCGCATCTGCAAAGCGAGATATCAAACCAAGGAACGGCGCCTTCGAACTCAATCTCGATGGAGCAACTTTACTCGGTCGACGTCACAAACAACCACCGCCAAGTAACCTGAGGGAGTCAATGGTTGCGCAATAGCATTACTGTTGAGAATAGCGGAATTCATTTGCTTGTCTTAACAATCCTTTTCTTCTGGAACCAAGACCAATTGTGCTATTCAAAGCCCTCTTTAATCCCGACCGCAATTCTATTCCTTTCATTGCAATGCATTGAGGCCGCCTCCATAAGTACATGGCGAACACCACATTTGACATTTGCATTTTTCTGGCATCAACTTTCTTTGCGGACAACATTATGCCCAAGTTGACCAAGTATGATAATGATTCGAAGGCCAAGCATTAAATACAATTCATTATACGGGGGTAATTTATTTGTGTCTTTCATTCGTTGGTTCACATTGGCGTTTGGAGATGGGAAATAAATTGCCGGGGGATAATGTGTTAATGACTGGCGGTGTTCATGGACCTCTGATCATACTTTCTTTTTTCACTTCATTGTTTCATGCGGCCGCTTTAGTTGGGGATCAATATGAGTTACTGATCACACGAGGCAGATGAATAAGTTTAGTACTGTCTGCAGCAGTACTTCTTGATACTTTAGATCCTTAAATTCATTCTTTTCCTTTAGGTTTCTCTGTTATGCATTCATAAAACTTTTGCGTTGGAGGATTGGTAGGCAGATAAATGGTGCTGGGCCAGTAAATAGATTATAAAGATCAATGGACTTTTACATATCAAAATTACTCTTTGTTTCTATGATGCTATGCTATGTGGTGATGAATCTTTTCATGTCATGAAATATTACAACCAACTCTGTTTTGATTTTGCTGTCCAATTTATATCTGATGAGCTCTTGGAAGATAGACTTTGTGGGGAGGGATGGGGATGGATGGGGGTATGCTGAGTGGGGGTAGATGCATTGAGGTAGGTGGATAGAGTGGATAGAGTAGGTAGTGTAGCCCTGTAGTAGTGTAAGTATGATTCGTTCGTTTAATAAGAGTATATCGATACGCGACCGCTTGGTGAAGCGAGCGATGTGATGTGATGTGATGTGATGTGATTACGGGAGGCGAGGTGGGAAGATGGTGCTGGCTACCTAGCTTGAATAGGTATTTGTTGTTACTTGTGTGATACAATTAGGGGTTAATAACTTTCATGCTCTTAGGGGTATAGTCTGGCTACATGCTAGTCTGGGGTGGGGGTATGTATCAGAATCAATTTCAATTTTGTAGACGAAGAGGATTGAAGTCGTGGATGTTGAGTTAAGGTTATAGTTATAAGCTATTTTTACTTTGGGTTGATGTTAGTTGCATGATAAGGATTTGAGGGAGGGGGGGGCGTGGGAGTTAAGCTTGAAGTTGAGATGGTAGGCGATAGGTTGGCCTTATATGTGGATATGTGAGGTTGTGGATTATAAGGTTGTGAGGGTGGGCGATCGCGGGGTTGAGATGGATGTGCGAGATTTGTTTGGGTAGAGTTAGGGGAAGTTGGGGGAAGTTAGCGATGTTTGGGAGAGGTTAGGGATGGTTAGGGGAAGTAGGTAGTGTTGAATAATGGGAATTTTATGGTATGTTGTGGGGCTGTAACACCATATGATGAAAGGTTTAGACGCCAGACGTTAGGGAGATTCTAGAATGAAGTGATTACTGTGCTAGTGTGTACTATGGTGTCTTGGGAGTGTGGAATTAAGACAATTGGAGCTTTTGAGTTTGTGGAGTGTTGTTTTGATGTTTTTTATATGGACTGTGATAGTGCGTGGATGGTCTGTTTGACTAAGATTTAGGTTGATGCTGTGGAGAGCTAGTGTAATAGTGTCACTAGAGAAGAAACTAGGGGAAGCTTGTATGTGAAAGTTAAAATAGTTACTCGCGTAGTGTTGAGTGATGTTTGACAGGATATGATGAAATAGTCAGAGACTAAGAAGAAACTAAGATGGCGTCACTAGAATGTTAGCGGGTAGTGGCGTCTTGGGAGTGTGTAGTCAGTGTGGGGCTATTGGATGAGCTAGATGTGTAGTCGGCTGGCTAGTGAAGGGCGAAAATTAGAAGGGAGCTTGGGATTACCCGTAGGATCGAGATAGTGGCTGGTGATCTTGAGTTGACTATCTGTACGTGAGTTGGTCAATTGATATTCATTAGATAGTGATATGAGTTGATGCTTATCTAATTTTTATGTATAATGGAATGGTTCACAGAAGGTTGTTCATCAGAATTATAATGATGAGTGGAGAAATTAACAAGGAAATTTCAACTTTGTTCTGAAGGAATGTATCTTCTAATGATTCAATTTCTTTTTCCAACGACTATATCAAAAACTGTCTTGAGTTCACTGGGTGAACAGACAAGTATTGATATTGCAACTTGAATCAACAATAAATCTCCACTCCTAGGATATAGAGATCCGAGATAGACTATAGACGATGAGGGGATCGTAAACTCTTGTGGTGATGATGTTGACAGGTGTTGATGTCATATTTCCAAGAGTTCTAGAACTGTTAGAATAGTTACAACAGCGTCAGGATTTCCATAAGAATAGACTACTAGTTAGGTATCGACAGTGAGAAATCTAGAACTCCATTCTAACTCTATAGATTTCTCATTTTGATAATCGTTCTCTCACTCGAGATCTGCGAAAAAATACCCGAAAGTCCTAAAATAATTAAGATTTCCGATCTCAAATCGGCTCTAAGAAAAGGGGATTTTCAAAAATGAACAATACGTCCAATCAAATTTATGGAAGCTCAAAGTTAAAGATTCAGAGTCCAACAGAAAGGGCTAGTCTTTACAAATCGTGCTGGGATTCCCATCCCATGTCAGAGGTTTGACAGCGGCAGATAAGCTCATCCGACTCCGTCACTTAAATTCAGGGGAATACTTAGCGAGGAGATTGAAAAGAATCATGACGAATAATGATTCCTGAATCCTGATTGGTGAGCCGGTTAGCTATCATGTGGGTAGTATCTGGAAGTCCGACTATTATAATCTTGGCACTATGTATATTCTGATGTCTGAATGGTGGATAAATATTATTGCAACCTGTCAAACTTGGTGATGAGCTGCGTATGTGGTTACAGAGGAAGGTGCTAGCCTGAATAGGCATATAATGTATTATAAGTTCGACACCAGAGCCCCAAGGGGTATGGCTTGTCTAATGGTAACCAGATCCATTACAATAAAATCCATTTTTCTGTTACAAGACTTTCTGGGTTTTGCTTACTACTGATTGCCCTCCGATTATCCAGATATAAACTAGAGCCAGGCCTTGTCTGCCAAGACATTAAGTCATATTTATAGGTGTAAAATAGTGTATGAACTTAATTGAAACTACCACCAAGCCGACCCTACCCCTAAGGGTATGAAAACCACTTTATTAGACGTCATCTTACCCAATCCATACTAGGCGTTAACTTCCTCTGCACGTTGACTTGTGTTTGACATTTTATTATATATCAATTCGACTCGAATTACTTCACTGATGTCACAAAGTCTTCAAGAATTATCTTGCTTCCCGGAACACTCCGAGCTACCAAAAAATGATCATCAAGTTATTCTTGTTGAGAAGTCTAATAGCGACTTGCGATGTAGAGTATAGAAAGATTGGTTATTCCAAGTTCAACATTTCCAGGTTTACACCTTTCTGACATCTTGCGATATATCAGCACACAGAGGTCAGCAATACCAAGTGATGTTGAGTGACCGGTAATTTAACCGTTATTGCGTATGTGATAGATTAGTATTGGAATTTAGTTGCAAGCTACTACTAATATGCAAGGCATATACAGAATGATCTACTCGCACTAAGCTGGAAGAAGTAGTAGATCTACTTCGCTATTGTTCCAAAGCTTCTTAGCAATATTATTAAGCAGACGATATATAATATGGTGTTATCACTGTGTGTGTGTGCGGCGTTTCATTTTCATTTTAATGTCCACCTCTTATGCAAAAATTTGTACATGTGGTTGACTCGCTGTTGATGAACATACCGAATTTTTGTTAAAGACTGTCCATTACCCTCAAAGTTCAATAGTCTCCCAGTTCGAGTGGGTGTACGAGACAAGGAAACACCATTGGGTTGTGTGTATCATTGGGAATTTTCCACATCTTGAATAATTTGTTCTATGTATTCAGTTCAGTACTCCATGGGTTCATGGATTGAAGTGATCGAATGGCATGCTCTCTATTATATCACACCGGATTTGGACTCTCAAATCATCACATCTTACGCGTTCAGTATAGCGCCACACTTGATCATCATGGAATTTGGGAATATATAGCACTATAGCAGACCGACATCAGGTGAGGAGTATCATGTTTTTAGCTCCTAGGACCACGATTTGTTCGAGTGTATGAGCCAAGATGAAATCCGGAGACCACTTGCGGCGTCAAATACCCGTACCACGGTGAACTCATGTTTAGTGTCAGTCTGCGGAAACAAATATTATTATAGTCCCAATTCTCGAGACAATTTGAGCTATCAGAATCCTAATGATTTGAAGCGTTGAAGGCCCCAGAAATATGATGAAATGGTACTTGGCAAACGTCACATGGTGTACAAAAGATGCAGGACGGTTGTAGTGCTTGATAATGAAACTTAAGATAGCATTATCTTCTGACTCTAGATTTTCAACTATTGAAATCATGACCGTCAAGAGATTCATTGGCAGTAGTAGCGACGCCTATACTAGCTAATTTGTCGTATAATCATGATTTCATGATTTCAACGTGATATCACAGAAGAGCTTTATCGGCATCGTCATTTTTAGGGCCTTCCTAGGCATTTCTCTCTTCTTGTCACATATAGCTTTAAGCCAAAGCAATACATTCGATCTCGACCGGGACACCCTTGGGCAATTGGTATACGGCAACACAACCTAGAGCAATATCATTAGCATATCCATTCATGTCCATCACCCTTCATCTGTTTCTTCCCATCCTCCTCTCTCTTCATTGGAGGAACACATCAACTCACTTCTTGCAGGCTTATGCTTGAAGAGCTTCTCATAAGCTCCGTTCATTTCCGCAAAGTTGTCCATGGTAGTCAAGAAGACATTGACCTTAACAACTTTCTCAATACTGCTTCCAGCTTCCTTAAGAACAGCAGACAAGTTATTGATGCAGAGCTCGGTCATGGCAGAGATGCTGGAGGTCTCGAGGGTGAGAATTTCGCCTTCGGGTGTGCATGGGATTTCTGTAGGAGAAGGGTCAATTGAATGTTTCCTGTGAAATAGGATACTGTGGTTAGAGAAATGGAATCGAAATCGGGGGCAAGCTTACGTCCAGAGCAGTAAATAGTAGATGAAGTCTTGATGGCTTGGGAGTAAGGTCCTGCTGCTAAAGGGTTGTTAGATTAATGTATAAAAGAGGTAATGCCCTCAATTTAGTCAATGTCCACAGGAATTAGAAGAGGCTTACGGAAAGCAGCGTCCTTTGAGTAAACTGTAGTGAGGTCCGACATTTTGATATTTGACTGATACGATTCGAAGTATATTCTCGAGGTTGATTCTTCAAAACAGTTTTTTACAACAATAGATTTTATAGTGATTTATCAGCGAGGTCGGAGGGGGAGCTGTCAAGCTTGTTGACGACAAGGTGGGGTGAAGCTTCAGACTTTTGGCGGGGCATGCACGGGCCCAACCATACTCACGATCTAACCATATTTGGAACAACGCGATTCCCGTTGACGAAAGTCAGCTTCAACGACATGTTAAAAAGTTAACTCATCAATATCTTTACGAAAAATTGACACGACTAGTTTTGCTTTGGAAGTTTTTCTCGGTGGTTGATATAATGAGCGAATACCCGGTCGGACGAGTGAATGATAGCATTATGGACAACGCTATCATCTGAAAAAGGTCGATGTCGAGCAAGGTGCACTGCCTGTTTGGCGCATTCCCACACTTACGAAAATGCAAAATCGCTGCCTGCATTTGTCCGCAGATGTGATGAAAAGTTCGAAGTTGATGCCGAAGGGAACAAGTTCTCACTCAAAGAAAATGACGATGAAAAGGATCATCATCCACAAAATATCACCGAAAAATTACTATCTGCTTCACTTGGCAGCTTCCTCCGTTTATATGCCTGGCACATTCGAATATGGGTTTATTGTGCGAAAACTTCTTGCCCTCAAAAGCGAATTCTCACATGAATTACAAGCCACTCCTCACGAAAACGACTAAAGACTGCTAGGAGATCCAAGTGATATTGAACACACACACACACACACACACACACACACACACACATATATATATTGGAATTAAATATACGAAGTACACCATGTACGGGCCCTGTCGAAGCAAATCCGCCATTCAAGAACATCTTTTTGCTTTAAAGAACTGGAAAAGAGAGAGGAAATCAAAATTCAAATACGGGGGTTCAATAATTATATTTCAAAAAAGTCACCGCCTATTATCCAAAATCAGCAAGGACGATGATTTGTGGTTCAGACATTTACCTTTTCCAAATCGTATCTGCACGCTTCCAAAGCTATGATGACAGCGGTTCGAGGGTATCCCAACCGTATTAAATTGTTCACATGAAAATCTTCCGTTGATGTGACATTAAGGTCCTGTCTTTGCTGGCTTTCGGCTGGTCTCGCATTGCGTATGTAGGCAGTGGCTGCTTGATCTATCTAGGTCAGTTGCGATTGGCTTGGTTTTCACAATTATCTTACATTGATTTTCCATTTTCAAATACGCCGGTGCTTCTTGTCTTTCTCGCTCAACAACACGTCGGGGCCTCCCAGCTTCATAACACCCAAGACAGTCACAGAAGTAGAGATGATCATCGCAATTTTCTTCAAAATCTGGTGTAGGTAATCGTATAGGCCGAGGTGTGGGTGGTGGCTCTCGCTTCACTGGAGGACTTGGGACACGGGGAGGATATTGAGGTTGAGTACTGGCTGCAATAAGCTTGAATTGATGGTTTTGAACAGCACTGTCATTTTGAGATCCGAATTCCATTCGGTACTGTCGATCAATGGTTTTATCCTGAATTTTGCGACGATTGAATGCTTGAATTGGATTCGAGCTGAGGTCATAGCAGGAAGAACCAGCCTTGAACGATTTCGAAGATGATGGAATCTCCCTCCTTCCCGAATCCTTAGTAACGTTGGAGGCGGTGGTATTTTTCTTGTGTCTTTTATCACTTGGTTTTATCTTGAATTCGTTGAATTCATTGTCAATGGCTCTAGGAGCGAAATGGACAGATTTCTGTCTGGGAGCAGGTGATCTTTGATTCATTATGGAGAATTCGGCCAATATAGGCATTGCTTCTCTATGAACGGTGTTCCATTCCATTTCGTATGGTGACACAGTAGAGTCTAAGTAATGATGCATCGGCAAGTTCTTCATGGCGGGAGAAGTATTTCCTGACATTTTATAGACTAGGTCGTTTTTATATTGACGATTAGGGATGACTGTTTGATGATTGAAGATGGTTTGTTTGATGAATCACTGAAAGGTGGTGAGCTGTTGATGGATTGTGTCGGCCGTGCTGGTATTCTTACGAATCTAGACGGAATCATCAAGCGATGATCAAGCCGATCGAGGGTACCAAGTGTTACTCACGTGTTAATATTCCTAGAAGATTGTTTGAATGTCCGGAGTGTGTGGGATCAATTTGCTGATGACTGTGAGATGAATTTCGATGAAATGGAAGTAGGTGAAGGAGTGTAAGAGAAGGTGGGCAGGATGAGGAGGGGGGTGCAGCTTTTATGGGTGCTGAATCGAAAATTATGCTAGAAGCTGATTGGCGAGATATCCCCTGCGGCACATGCAGGAAGATTCCCTCGACTCTACCCGCTAAACCCGTACCGGTACAATCCTCGGAGAAGCGAGAAACCACCGAGTTATATTCCACGAGCCTGTAAGTCCCTTGGAAGGTCGTTTGACGTTTATTTGGACCCTTATGAGAGTGCTTGAAATGGTCCGTGCACAGATCAAGTGCTCTTGAGTTGTTGAAGATGAAGTCGGTGTCAATTAGATAGCAAGTGCTCTTGTAGAGACTGATACCAATCAATAAAGTTTACTTCTTTGCAGATAAGAATCAAGACAAATCGTATGACTTTGCATTTGCTCTTTGCTCATGCCTTTTAGAAGGGTTTGTAAAGGAGCTAATGTTGCCGTCGTATCGTCTCTATTCATTCACTTCTGACTTAGGTTAATCATTCGTTGTTCGATTTGTTCCGGAGAATTTACTGGAAATTATTCCAAGTTCCAATTGTTGGACTGATGTGATCGACAAGTGTAAAGTATTAGTTAATCGGTCCTGTGGTATTTTCAAGGTTCGCACTTCTTGTTTAGAGATGTATAAACGTTGACCGAATACTTAAGAAACCATTTTAAAATCTATCATTCAGCTTTCGGTGAAAATGAGATTGTTTAAATATTTATCGTAGTGGTCTGGGAGGCCTCCTGGGCTTCTCGCTGAACGCCTGCACGTGGCTCATTGGCCAAGTGAAATTGTAGAGAATGGAGATTTCTATCTTCTCATAACCGCATGAGGTTCAACATAGTAATTCTTTTTCAAGACCAAGCACTGATCCCCCTTCAGTATCGTTAGGCAGTTTCAATTCGAATTCGTGAGCTTTTGAGATTTTAGGCAGCATTGCTTAGTCATCGTAAGATGCTGTGGTCATTATTAGCCTGCTTATGTAAATAATACATAAGCGTGGCGGTAATCTTGCGAGCGTGGAGTATAAGAGTACCTATATGTAACTAGATAATCGGGAAGGGACGCCGGTTCTTGAACGTGTAATGAACCCTCGAAACAGATTTCTATTGATTCCTCAACGAAAAAGAAATACTATTGGCACATCCATTACCAAGCTAGCCATTTTCGGACCAATTTACCAAATTCGCAGCTATCATCATATGATACAATATCAACACGTTCCAGAACAATATAAGTTGATAATGAGAGACTCGCAGCGCTATGTCGTTCAAAATTAGAAAGTTAATAAAATTGGTGATCCTGGGGACAATATGATCGTGTGAAAGATTTGCACCCATCAATTTTGGGCTTCAAGGAGCTCGCATCGATCTGGACATAGATAATTGAAATTCTGTCGATTAACTACCACATTTGGAAGATCTGAAGCTACCAATATCATCTACCACATTATGCAAGCACCTGCACATCATCTCTTCCCATTTCCATCTTACCTCCTACTTCCCGGTGGCAATTTGATTCCCATCTGCAAATTCTCCATTATCTTCTTCGCACTCTCAATCCCACCATCTAAATATACAGCCCCAATCACCGCCTTGACTGCTCTGCTAACAACACGGGTGTTATCTTCTCGCGTGTCCTCTTTGACGAGTTCTATGATATTGCGGAAAGAGATTGGGACACTAGGCTGGGGGCGAATACATGACGCTATGGTCGGATAAGCAGAGAGGGAGGTGCGGGAGAGAACACGGTTTAGTATTTGAGAGGCTTGTACTGTTTGGAGAAGTCGGGTTAGCGTGTTCGTGGCTGCCCCTCGCTATCTTGCCGAAGAGAATACGGAGAAATTAAATAAGAGTAAACACACCTTCAGGAATACTAAACAAATAAAATTGTTCCCTCATCACCAATCTAATGGCCGTCTCACCTAGTTTCGCCAATCCTTCATTGCCATCCAAACAGATTCGCATACTCTTTCCAACACACGTTACGCCATTCTTGGGGGTTTCGAGTGCTTCCTCGAGAATATCGGGGTTGGTGAAGGTATAAGAGAGAAAGGATTGCAGGATTGGAAGCCAGTTTTTGTTGGTGGCGGGATTGAAGTGGGAAACGCCACGAGGAGGGAGGCGGATGATGCGGTTTGTTGAGTTGGTGATGGAGGTAGAATTTGAAATGGTGTTGGGGATTGGATCACGAGATTTGTAAGAAGGTGAGGGGGAAATTGGGGGGAGCATGTGGTTTGTTGGGTAATGAGAGAAAGTGGCTGATTGTGTGGATCTGGCATTTTCCTGTCGGTCGCGAGATTTGTAAGATGGAGTAGGAGAGTGTAAGGAAGAGGGGGGTAAGCAACTAAGGTCAGGGTGAGACTTTGTGGAGTAGTTGGAGCTGTTGGTACTAGGTGGTCTGGAGGGGGGACCGCTAGCTGGGGATTGGTGAAGGCGTGGGCGAGTGCCTTCTTCATATATGTCATGAAAGGGGTTGGCCACTCTCGCATCCTCTTCATGACCTTCCCATTCTTCGGGTTGGAACATGTTGGTAATGTTGGAATCTTCTGCGGTGTCTTGATGGGATTGGAAATCTGCTGACTGTGGAACTCGAGTGCGATAGTTTGTAGTTGTATCAGGCATTTGAAGTATTGACAAATGTTTATGCAAACTAGTAGAGCATGCCAGATGAATTTGGCTTTTGTCGGGATGGAGGCGGACTATATAAGTCCCATAAGCTGCGTTTGTGTGGCTGCTAATACTTCATCTTATTATTCAGACAACCATTAGAATTTCGAAGACACATTCAGATAACCGATACAGGAGAAGTGAATCACGAAAAGTATACTTGCACGGTTCATGCACCCAATCACAGATGTCACAAACACACCCATATATGAGAAATACATTCACAGACTAAGAAAGGTATGTAATATCCAAAGGTGCAAAGAAGCAAACAAGAGCGCACAGTCCAGTCCAGTGACTAGAACACTCAAATCTTAGTGACATAGTCTTTGAAGATATAGCACCGTGCCCAAACGACGATGATTATCTACGATATGTGGAACAATACCCTCCAGCACTAGGAACTCCACATTGCGGCGGTGGCATTCAACATCATACCATCCAGCCCCTTCATCACTCAGACTTGCACACAGAGTCAAACACATGGAGTTTTATGAACCGATATCATTCTGCATCTCTATCTCTCAATTCGTAGAATTCAGTAGGAGGCAAGAGTAGTCATGGTGTCAATAAGTGGAGAGTTTAAGCTTCTGTTGCTTTTTTTAATTGATGATTTGTGGTTGTTAAGGTTCTTTACGATAAATCGAGGATGGGAGTGGTGTATAGTGATAGGAGACTGGAGGTTAGATTTCTTGTCGGACAATTGAGTGGCACGGGTTTATCCTGTACATTCATGAATATAGAAAGTAATTCGGATTGTGTATGGATGTCATTCATCAATCCCTTTCCTCTTATCCGGCATGTCGATGATTTAATTCTCAACATTGGGGCTCGTAGGAGAGGCTCAGAAATGATAACATCCGAACACTCAAGTTTAGAGTCAATTCTGTTCTGAAGGAGAGTTTGTAATCCACATCAAAAATCACGGGAGTGGAAGACTAGCTCCAACCCATCACAGTTCAACAAAGCAAACTCTCCACGTCGATCGATTTTAAGTCTACTACTCATCCGATGTTCTCGAATCACTTCAATTGATCATCAGGAATGTTGACTGTTCGCCCGTAAACTTCACCAGCATGTACATCGGATATCTACTGAGATTTAGTGTTATTTAATTTACAACTTTTATGGCACAATACGAATTCATATAAATATACCAGTTGCTTGCATACCACCGTAAAAATCATCACACTCCTTAAATACTCGCTCAACTCGAGCAATAGTAGAGTATGTTTTACCGAGATGAAACAGACTGTGGAATCTCACCCTCTGGGAAATTCAACGGTAATGGCGCATCATCTCGTGAATTCGAACCAGTCCCGCATAAGCAATGATCATCCAGCTGCCACATTTTTCCTTCCAACCAATCTCATATCATCTTCATATGTATCTTGAGCTTAATAGTTGCCTCTCTGCCGACTCCCAGTCATTTCATCGGTCCCCGCCAACTCTGTCCTCTCCTTCGTTGGAACACCCCCTGGCAAATTATTTCCCTTTCGACTCTGGGGTACTGTGCTAGCATTAGCTGCTTCTGGCTCCGCTGCATATTTCTTCAGATCCCCTAGTGAGATTGCATCTCTATTTTTGGTTAGCTTATCCTCATGTAATCCTTTAATTATTCACTTCTGATTTGATAATCAATCTCCCGCCACGCATTTTCCGTTTTCTTAAAAAAATAACCCAGCGGAATTATCTTGGCAAGTAATGACGAGAACGTCGCCGCCATGGTGATTTCGAAATTGAGGTGACAAGCATGAAAAGGGAGACTTACAAAGCTCTCTCGTGGGTAGCATGCAAATGCACTTTAGGTACTAAATTCTCGTCCTTAGAATTTTTTGCTGCTTCCATTGCTTCTTTCCAGCGACTAGCACATAGACACCATTTTTTCCCTCCGGTCAAGCCGATATCGCGAAGATTGTTGCCACGGGACGCAGAGAAATCAAGGAAGCTGTCTGTCAAAGTCGCTTTGAGATGCATTAGTTGTATCTCTTGATGAAAAGAAGGGCGAGGAAAGAAATGGAGACATACCAGCAACTGAATGATTTCCGGTATCCTCTGGACCAACATCACACTGCCCATTTCTATAAAATCCAGTTCCTTTCGCAAATTGACCGAGAGGCTTGTTGAATACTATTTTTCATCTCCAGTTAGAACCTGTCTCTTCCTACTGAATGGTGATTTGAAGCTATCTCGACATACCATTGAGTGATTTGTGAGCCTTTCCAAAGCTATCTGATCGTCCTTCATTTGCCATTTTGACTCTAGTGGTAGAATATGTCTTAAGATTAGGAAAGACTGAACTTCGGAAGATTTGTCGACGAGTTACTGACACAGAATGCATACAAATTACACAAGCAAGTAAATTTGGTGTACAAATGGGATTAAATTGAGATATGAAAATTATTAAACAAAAGAGAAGGAGTTATTAGAGTTGAAGTGTTGATAAGTGGTATATGCACTAAGGAACATAGTCTCAGGTCCATGACGTTGTGATTCTGGAATGACTGACACTATTGAACCAGGAACAATTGATTGTAGAGATTCGATCAAAGACCGAGACATTAATAAAACTTGCAGTTTTCAATTTGAGAACACAAAGAGTGATTTCTACCAATTGTTCAGAGATCTGGATTAGTTCTTTATCAAAGTTTAGTAATGATGTTGCTGGGAGAGTGCCCCGAGTTATGATATCATTGCTTACATAAAAAGTGTCTCTGAATTTACACCTCATTTGAATCTGGGAGAAACTACCTGCGGAAAACAACTTTAACTTCGACGTCGCTCCAACTCGTGTTTAATATTGGATATCCCACGTGTAAGAGAATGAAGCATGCAATTGAAGACTAACCGGTGTTTAAAGGAGATTCAGAATTGGGTTTCATTTCGTCGCAACATTGCCATCAGAGAGATAATGGTAACAATAACCCAGATAGGGGATCTGAAAGACCTTGAAATTGTCCATGAAATGGTCTTCGCACTTGCTGCAATAGCTAACACAAGAGTATTGTTATACAGCTATGTAAACATGCCATTTGGAAGGGTATGATCGCGAACGTAGGATAGTTCTACCAAGACCAAGGCAGAGAGAAGAGTTGCCTTTTGCACCCCTATCAATATCTTCATCAAGGACTAAAAAGTATCGAAGACCACGATCTTCCCATTTCTTCATACTTGGCTCTACTGCTTTCAATGGAAGAAAGAGCGGTGGCATGGCAGACTTGGTATTGAAAGCTTTTCAATCATTCCCCCTCGATATATGTGAGACCAAACAGATTAACCTGGAGTCTTTGACAAGCATACGCACATCACGATTCCAATCTCTTGCAAACTTACTTGTAAATAATTCGATTTATGTGAAAAATTATCACTTGACAGCCCACAAGAAATGAGGCACTTGGTGTTCCCGTAAGACTTCTCTGCTGGCATGTATCATTACAGCAACCTCTACGTGAATAATTCATCCATCCTCCACCCCGCACTTTCCCATATATCTGGGGATGCCACTGACAAATCGTGAGAGGGTCCTACCGCTACCACAATTCCACGCCACCGAGTAACAAAAACTCAATCAAACGAATAACATTTTGAACGTTCCAGTTTTCCAGTTTTCCAGTTTTCCAGTTTTCCAGTTTTCCAGTTTTCCAGTTTTCCAGTTTTCCAGTTTTCCAGCCTTCTTTTCTTCTTTCCTTCTTCTTCTTCTTCTTCGAAAAACTTGGTCACTTACAGAAAGTATGTATCCGTCGCACGTGGTGTAAATCAAACGTGACGTGCAGTAGTCACTTGTACCTACTTGTTTATGTTTTGTATGCAGGTATCCAGCTGCTCCAAAATTATTACACCCGAGGCAATGATCGACTCCATTTCAGCCCACCGCATCTTCAAAGATTAGGAAAAAGAAAAGAAAGAATTTAAAACATAACCCATTCATGATCAGTCGAGCGAAACGCTACAGAGCTCGTACGTAGGTAGCTAAACGAAAAAGAAAAGTCGGGATTTCACTCGACTAAGTGAAGAGGTAAGATTACAAAATTTCGAAAGATTTCCAAAAACGTCTGAGCAATCATCAAAACAGATAAAATCGATCGATCCTTTATTTCGTTTCATTTCCAAAGGGTTTCGTCTCGTCGCTCATCTCGTTTCATTCCTCCAATCCTTCCCGTGCAACCACATTTACATTCGTGAACTTGTAGATTTACTTGGCATATTTTCCGGCCAGACGAGAGCGAAGATCCTGAGGCGAGTGAAGATACACTGTAAGGGAAGAGAAATTCAGGTAATAATCTGCAGCTGTCATACCAGAAATAGCCACGGATATTCAGGAACGCAGGCACGTCAGCCATACTTTAATACTTTTCCAAGCCCCTCTTTTCCCAAAGGATCGTCTAATATCTCTCAAGGCAAGGTTTCGCGGGCTTGCTTTTCCGGAAACCCAGAAATCATCGAACTGAATCCAAATGATATGCAATCATGACAATGTTTCAAGCCCTCATAAAGTGTGAAAAGTATATAAATTCAATAGATTTCCCAAGCATCAAAATCGGAATCAGTTGCTGAAAAAAAAAATCACCAACATAACTTGTACAACCTCTGTAGCACCAATACCATAGTACAAAAGTAGTTATTGGCCTTTTAGATCAGTGAAAGAAGATGAACACCAATCGAGATTTGATCGCACCCCACTTTTGGTGGTGACAAACCTAGCAAGATGAACCCTTAAAAGGAAATAAAATGATATGCCTAGTTAGTTGACGGTGGTACGGACATCTTGGAACGTACATTTTCCCACCCAAACCATTCGAGCTATAGCAAAACCTCTCTATAAGGATATCGGCTTTTGTAGTCTTTTTTAAGAATATATAGAGGTATCCTTATATAGAGGTTTCGCTTAATCCCGATCGGGCTACATTTCTGTAACAATTTTAACATTTTTCATTTTCACAAAAATATAACTAAAATTTCGACATTTTCATCATATAATAGCTAATCCTAATGATTTTACTAGTCTAATAAAAATATAGATAATCCTAGACTTTAGAAATATAAGAATATTCTAATAAAGAGTTTATCCTTATAGGAGGGATCCTTATAGAGAGGTTTTACTGTATTCATTTTCTCCACGCGCTCTTGCAGAGAGAATGGGATTTTAGTCTTTCGCGAGAGTTACTAAATCGAACAAGGTATGACGGGCCGAGGCTTGGGAACATGGGTTAGGAGGAGGAGAGACAGGGATCTAATGAAGAATTGAGTTTTGGAGACTGGAGCTGATGGAGATAGAGATGATTACTGATGAATTGATGAATGGATGGACTATATCATATCATACTATCGTAAGTTTTGACGTTGAAGCATGAGAAAAACGAAGAAGAGATGTTGGGTAACCGTAAGTTCGGACTGATAAGGTATCAAAAACCTAACAGAGAGTGACTTTAGGTTATTCAGCCCCCAGCCAGCTGTAGGGCATTCTGCTGACGAATATAGTGTGGGTGACACCGCATAGTGCGAAAGAATGTTCTCTTGCATATGGGAACGTATGATGATGAATATTGCCCAAAGAGGTGACGGTGTGAGATTTTGGCGAATTGTTTTTGATTCATTATTTAGTGATTCATCAGGAATTGGAATACTACTCGCTCTAGGAATGAAATCAAGCTATACAACTGTAAGGTTTGAATGATTGACCAAAATGTAGTTTCGGGTGAGTATGATGAAGAGCACCCGATTTAGACGAGAGAATGGAAAACTTGATAAATCGTTGGCCAAAGGAAGGTAAAGAAAGGTTAGAAAGTAATAAATTCGACTGGCTTAGATTTCAGATTCACTCGTGATGTGCTGCAGTTACCGGGGGCATTGAAAATCTTGACACTAAGATCAAGTACAGTAGACGGCTGACGAGATTCTACCCCTCATTCATCCTCAGATGAGAAGTTCGGATTGATTATTCTTTTCGGGATGTGACGTGACGCCGAGATGGAGAAAATGTTGCTGCACTACTTAACATTTTAATATATTTTTCCCGAAGTACAAGACCTTGTGAGCACTGAATTTTTGACTTTAATGCCGACCTACCTATAGTTTTGTGAAACCAGTACTGTCGTCGCTACGGCAAGTGTAAATGAAGGGGTAATTCTGTTGCATGCTTGGAAAAAAAGGGTTCGAGTAGCGAATTTTCATCTGTAGGTACAAATACAGGAACGCTCTCGATTTATGCCACGCGCTTTACAGATATAACTATACTCTTATCAGAATTACCCGACGGAAATATTGAATCTAGTTCATAGTTGACAAATGCATCGATGGTGCATCTTTCACTGCCTTACTTGTTTCTTAGTGTAACGTTAGTTCAAAAATGCCAACGAGGTGCCCGGAAATGGTCCAGGTAACACCAACACTAAATGTTCTCCATTTGAAACCTTTCTGGGCAAGACCATCCGGCTATTTCTAGAGGGAATTTACCTGGGGCATTCAAATTGAAGCGGCATTTATGGGTTATGAAGTGGAGGTAAAATAAAGGATCGGAGTCGCCATCTAAACCATCTTGTTGTCTGCGACGGTTGTTCAGCAGGCCCAATAACAGGCAGGCCTGGGAGCAAAAAGCCATCGGGAGAATCCAATCCCTTCCTTGTCTTAGATGGATTTGCCGAACCTTGTATTTTGAAGAACTCGGGCCTTGAGAGGAGAAAAGGTAGATTTCCACACCAGAACGTTAATGTTCGAGATGAATAATGCAATAAGACTATTTAATATACTCGTCCAACTTCATGGACATTATGAGATTTCAAATCAGAAATGGAACTCCATACCCAGGCAATCTTATTGTATATTCTGGAGGTTTGATCTTCACTGGTGAATATCAGAGAATCGTCCAAACTATCCTTGTTGAAAGCCAACGACAATTGGGATCTAGGGATCTGGAATCCTTGAATGCGAAGTCAGGTACAGTTCGGCAGCAGTGCAGTGCAGTCAGTGCAAAAGGTTTGAAGATGGCTACCTTAACTTAAAATAAGTCCCAGGAACTCGAAAAAAGAAGAGCTGAAGGCTGTGTTCGTTGTTCTTGGCCTGACACAGTAAGCGTAATCGTAAATTTCGGTACAAGATCTGACGGATTTTGAGAAGTGGCAGTCAGCAGGATCTCTGGAGCTCTTGTTCATCTCTTTTGGGCTCTTTTTTGAAACAAGTATACCATATTCAAGCCGTCTCAATACATCCATTTTGTACTTGATTCGAAGAAAGAGGGGGTTGAGAGTTTGTAAGAAAGATGGGTCAATGTAGATAATACCCGAAGATATGAGAGGGGACTCAAAGATTCACGGATATTGTAGGGAGATAAACACCCGCAAAGATACAACAAGAGTGGAGCATTATCATCTTGAACTAAAGGCAACATACAATCTGAATAGCTGGAGGACTTGAGCTTCGAAGGTGTGGTTGGAAAGGTACCCAGGTATAATAGTAGATAGGTAGGCAGCTTCATTCTGTAATTTCTGTTGTACCAAAAGAGGAAAAAAGTAATACTCAATAGGGTTATCGAAAACTTTATATAAATAAAGTTTGGTTTCATGGTTCAGAGTGTTACCCTGTTTTTGCCACCAACAGGCGTTCTTCAATCATGAGTTTGATGCTCGCCCTATGAGAATATTACTTGAAATGAATGAGCTGTAGCACAAGATTCGGTGTACAAGTTCACTGGATTTCGTATGTACCAAAAGACCAAGAAGAAAGACCAAGAAGACGCCCCGACTATACCTACCTATATCATAATCATATCGGTGATATACGATGCATCCTTACTAAATGACTTTCCATACCTAACTGATATCCCTGTTCATGCTGCAACCAAGAACCCCAGTCGGTGAATCGTACGGGAGAATCATGTACGGAAGTACTAGGAAAGGTAGTGTAGAGAGGAAGCATGACTGACTATCGAGAGTGACTTAAATACCTACTGAATGACCTTAGAAGAAAGCAAGCAAGCCGGCCAGCCAACCAGCCAACCAGCCAGCCAGCAAGAACTTGCATAACGATAACAGCAACAATGAATGATAATAATAGCATGTTCATGATGAAAGAGTGAAAGAGCGGTAGGAAATTGATATAATCTTTTTGTTGTTCTACCCCCCCTTTCTCCTTTCTCATTCTACCTACCCTTTCTTCGTTTTTTTCTCCATCTAAATATATGAGAAATCATACAATACGGTCCAGTATTAGTATTCTCTTTATCTAGGTACTTGGGTAATACTCTTCTTACTTTCCAAATAAATCAAAAAAGAGGGTCTCACATTGTTCAGACAACCCAAACATCCACACAAATATATCCACGCTTTTCCGAATCATCCTTAGTAAATTTAGTTTGTGCATCTTGTGCACTTTACAGCGAATCAAAAAATGATCTGAGGTGGAGGCGAGTTATTCTAAATACCCATACAAGCCCATAACCCAGCCCAGCCAGACCCAGTTTAGCTTCTCCAACACAAAGGGCTGTTCATGTCTCTCCGAACTTCCATACCGTAGAGATTCCTACGACTTCACTCTTCTTCTAACTTCATCACTTAATTGACTGTAAGGTTGATTCATTCATACCAGATAATTGCTACTATTCTATTCTACATGTAATCGAATTTCGAATCATTCATTGCAAATTGTTCAAAGATTCAGAGTGGTCAACGTTTATTACCTATGAAATCATACTCATTCACCCTTTTCGCTGGTAGATGAACTTGTGATTCGACTTCATGCTGAACCTCATTTAAGAGCGATTCCTGGCCAGAGCCAGCAGAACGAGAGAGAACGAACACACCTTATAACCTCAAGAACTGACCATCATACAAACAAAACCACCTTACTGTTCCAACCCGAGTTGTTCAGTCAAATCCGCAAGATGTCTCCATCGTTAGATATACCCCAAGCCGGCTTGAGGCTGGAGAGTAATCCGCCCTCCAACAAGTCTGCCACAAATATTACACCTGCTATTGGCTTGACTTTGAGCAATGCAATGATCGAGGACATGATCAAATGTTATCAGAATAACAAACCAATAGAATTATCATTGGGTGGACATCCCGTAAGAGATCCTGCTCCCCATGGCTTCAATGATTTTTGGTAGCCGAACGTTTCCAGCGTACGGCACCAATTGTTCATGTTTGAGTATTTATAACAATAGTACTTTGCTTGATTGTATGAACAGAAACAATTGCTGACTGATTTCCTTTTCTGCAAACTAGAATCTGATATATGGCAACAAATCTCACATCCTTTCCACTTACCACGATCCATTCCAATACGAAGTATTCCAGACTGCGAATTCCAACGATATGGACTCGGACAACTCGAATACGTCTAAACCGCAGGTACTCAGTGAGCTTACCCTCGCCAACAAGAAGTTATTGGGGCCAGGTGCGCAACCTCGTTACAAGGCGGACAACATGAAGACGAGTAAGAAGCCTACTTCGGCAGCTGCAGGCGAGGATACAGCGTTGGAAAATTTGAGGGAATCGATGGCCACAGCTCAAGCGAAGAAAGATGGGAATACGTGAGTAGTAATTAGATTGCTGCAAGTGGACTAGGGAACTAATTTCAATAGTACAAAAATCATCAATCAGATCCCTGGAAAACGAGGAGCCTCCAAAGTCACAAACAAATCGAAGTTTCTGGGCAAGGGGCTCGGAAACGATGCAACCAAATCGATGCCAGTCAGTCCCGCCCTTTCTGGTTTGGGAAGTCCAGCTCTAGGTGCGACTAAGTCTCTTTCCCAGCAACAAGCCGAGAATGCCAAGAGCAGTAGGAAACCTGTAGTACACTTACTGGCCCTCGAACCAATGTCTGAGAAGGAACTCAATAATCGAATTCCTGGTCCGAAAGACGACCTCAAGCAGGCAATTGCGAAGGTGGGAGACCTCAACACATCGACTGGAAAATGGGAACTCCGCAAAAATTACTACAAAGAGCTCGACGTATTCAACTTCAAATATGGAAGCGACGCCGAACGTCAGAGAGCAATTGATAATGCGGTTAAAATTTTCGACAAGATGAGGTTGGGCTTATCGGAACCTGAGTGGGAAAAGCTCTTGCCCAAATCGGAGCGAGGTACCGGAAAGTCCCTTAGTAAGGTACAAGCTTCAATTACCAATAGCGCTGCCGCGAAATTAAAATCCAGCGAAGAGGAAGACGTATTTGGCGATAAAATGGCTTCAAAGGTGAAGACTGAGACGACAACCAGATCAGCTTCAGGACCACCAACAACTAAGCCCAAGAAACTTAGCGAAAAAGAAGCTCAGGCCAAAAGATTACTTTCTAAGAATCCTCCAAAAACAGCAGCAGCCACTATGAAGTCGAAGGCCGTGAAGAAGGAAGTTGAAAAGCCAAAAGCATCAGCGGCAAAGCCTCTATCTTCCCAATATGTTGTCGAATCCGACGACGAGGAAGTTCCAATCAAGAAGCCTCAAGTCACCAAGGCCCCAGCCAAGAAAGAAAATGCCAACAGCAAACGAGGTCGCAACGAAGAAATGGATTCTAGCGATTCGAGCTTACCTTTGAGTAAGAAGGTCAAGAAGGATACTGCCAATTCACATCGAGTCTCAGATGCTAGTCAATCATCTCGTCCAAGCTCCACTTCTACGACTTCTTCTTCGAGTTCCTTCAAAGGCAAAGCAAACTCCCCACAGAAATCATCACCTTTGGCTTCCTCGCCACCGACCAATGCATCGGATTTCGGAAATACATCTTCTGGTGGTCGATCATCTACATCTACTTCTCCTGCCAACCATCACACTTTGTCCAACACTCGCAACAATCGATCACCTATTCACAAACGCCACCAAAAGTCATCCAGTGTTGCCTCATCAGTCTCATCCACCGATAGTACCCGCCGTTTGAGACCTGGTGTATTGGACTTGGCCGAAAACTACAAGAGGTTTTACCCTATCTATCTCAAGCTTCATAATGAATTGGCAACATCGAAGGTCAAGAATCCCTTAGAGGAAGAGAAGCTTCTCGCAATGCATGAGCGCCTTAGCGACTTGAAGAAACAGATTTTGGAGGGGATCATCGAAGAGTAGAAGGCTCTGCTCCCCTTCTCACTTTACACAACTGAAGCGGTCTTGATTACGTCGCTGCGCATACGATAATTATCAACACAAAATGACGGCTTTGACTGCGATTATATTATCCATTTACTGCACACACAAACCATACACAACAGGTGAAGCGGCAGGCTTCTCAATTTATCTGTTTTCTGCATTCGGAGTAACACGGGCATTTACCACGGCAGGCAAAACCGAATACTTTTCTATTTCATTTTACTTTCTTGTTTTCACAAAATTTGAGATTTTTTTTACTTCTCCATGGATGGAGCTTCAACTAAATACCCTTTGGGAATGGACACGGAATGGATTCGGCGTCTTTTTTCATTTTTTCATTTTTTTTCTATCTCTGGAAGTCTACTTGCTCCATTGAATCAAAAGGAGTTCCTGGGTCATCTGGTTTATGGATATGCCTCAAGATGCGAATGCGTAATGTGAATATATAAGTTTGGGGATAGGCATTTGGGACTGGGTTTGGATTTGGGCAGAGGATGAATGGATGGAGAATTGCATATTGCTGAACGACGGGAGGATGATTGATATGCGGCTACTGCACATATGGGGATTGCATTTGAAGACGGAGATGAAAGACAAGATACAGATGAAGACACAGATACAGATGATTATGGGGATTAATTACATAGGCCATAGAGAGATAGGGAGAGGGAGAGAAGTGGATTTCAGGATGCAAATCCTTATAGCAGAAGCCAAAATCAGAATAAAGATCAAATTTGATAACATATGATGGTTGGCATGTGAATACTTATGTGATGTAAAAGAATTTTGCTTTATAATACAACTTAACAATAAGGTCGCTGATCGAAGAAGAGTGGGGTGGAAGGAATGCTACGGAGGGGATGGGTAAGCGTGCAGATATTATGGAAGACATAGTATGATGTAACAGTGAGGGAATAGAAAAAAGTGGAATTATGAGCTGATATTGCAACATACATCGTAGATTCCTATACCTAGTCCCACCAACTAGCTGCCCAGCAGCTCCATATTTGTATTTAATTTCACATAGCCGAATTGAGTATGAATGTACTGAAGTCAAATGCGTCTAAGTAAACCAGGGGCATTGGAGTTACCTACCTAGGTACATCCGGATATATCAAGATTTGTCGTCAGGATATCCAAGCGAGCACACACAGTCCAGAGCGAATACCGATAGACCGGTACCGACGGACCGGTATCGGTATTGTGTTGCAGCTGATATTGGAGCTGGGGTTTTGTTGGAGCTTGGTTGGAGCTGAGATTGGAATTTGCAACGGTTGTGTTGGTTTTTGGTTGGGTTTTGCTTGGGATGGGTAGTATACGAGGCGCTTACGCTTATTTTGATCAGGGGAGGTTTGATTCTCGATTGTGAAAGTCACATGGATGTATGGGCTTTGGAAGGCCATAGAAGCCGGGGTTGGAAGTGCAAAGTTAGGATTTGGAGTTTGAAAAGGAACGGAAAATGGGATATGATAGGAAGGCCTTAGTCGATTGAACTGGGTTGTATCGTTCGAACGGAAGTTGGCTGTGGTTGCTTGAAGTATCCCGAGAGACATCCTATGACCAGAACAAAAATGACGCTTGATGACATTTCATGCCCCTGCCGATCGATAATACACTCTCCCTCGCGCTTGAAAGACACCGGCGTTTGAAAAGTAATTATTTCGATGGTTGGCAGACAAAGAACTTCACGGCCGATTATTCGGCGATCAACGAGAGCCACACACCGCAAATTGCACACACAATTGGTAAGAAATCTGATTCAATTTCTCCTGATACCATAACTCATCCGACAATTGAAAAAACAAACGCCAGGGCCAATTTGTGACGTCCTTTCCTAAACACCGCTTCATCTCATTACTGATTGTCCTCTTTTATATCCTCTGCATTGTTACATTGAAACCTTTCTCAAAAAAGTAAGAGCTGTTCGTGCCGTTTGTGGGCGAATACGAAACATTTATTGGGTCTTGAAGAGGAGAATCGCGCAGTGACCGAGGTAGAAGTAGATGAAGTGTTTCGTTTCTGCGAAAAAGTCAGATAGGAGAAACAACTATTTGAGGCTCAAGGGCAAAATACCATGGGTGACAAATGATCCAAAGTTTCGACCAACGATACAATGCCATGTTGGACCTCGTTTCTCATCGAACTAATATGGCAATTTAGTACCTCGTTCATTGTTTGCTATATAAGCGCGAGCTTCAAGTACGTACAGCTTTCTTGATGTATTGTGCGATGTCCTATGGCAGATCATATTAGCACATGAAAAGGGGTTCGAACCAAAAAAATCCTACTTTCTCAACCGAATGCTTAGCCATAGCTTGTCGACCTGTATATTCCATTAACATCTTATGGATATATTCATACCGCCCCCGTTGTGATCGCATCTATAGGATATGACATACAAACTTCAATAGCCTCGTCTGACATGTCGTCGCTCTGTTAAATAGTTAGTAGCCGTCGCATATCATCGCAGAGAGTATAAATGAGCGCACCATGTCGACCGACTTAATCTGAGCTGTAGTACATCTTAATTAGCTAGTATACTACCAAAAACTCCCTGGAGCGGCTGAACAGAAGTTTTGAAAAGTCGGGACTTATACATACCTGCCAGGGACTCTTCAGCTGGTTGTTGAGGGGCTGCCATTTTGTTTGTTTAAATGTTGTGCGTGTTGATCTGATTTTCTGAATGTGTAATTGCTATGCTTGTATCGTAGAGTTATCGAAATAGGGAATTGTCTCTTCTAGAATACAATCGGAAGTTGTGGAGAAAGGAGGAAGAGAGAAAGGCTGATAGTTTAGCCGAAGTTTTGCAATGCAAGTGAGTAGGTAACCTTATTGCAGCGATCCAAAGACTAGGCAAGGCAATCTATTGACAAGATCCGGATCCGATAAAGTTATCACAAATAGTGAGGGTGTAGGATAAGATCTTGAAGTTGGATGAGAAATGTTGATGTATATGTATAATTCGATTTGTTCGAATCGATTATAGGGAAGTTGCTGCTTTTCAATTTTTTAATGATGATGGCCATATTTATTGATATCTATCACGTGCCCACGTCTAGATTTCGTTGCGGATTTTCTTGCATCAAATGTTGAGCACGGCTCACCCTGCGGCACTTCTCAATTAAGCTCAAGGCTAAGGAAAAATATGCTAGAGTAGCTCCGCTGCGGATATCCTTCCTAAGAAAAAAATATTTTGATAATCGAACATCCTCATTTCTTAACTTGCGAAAACGTAACTCTGCGCCGTCATAGTCCATCACGTCAAACCAATGCGCTGATAAGTTACGAAAAGCACAAACAGTTACAATATCAACGTTTCAACATGGCCTCTTCTCGTATATTCATCAAGGGACTTCCTCCAAATATCACTGAGGATGAATTCAAAACGCATTTCGGTGCGAAACAAGAAATTACAGATGCAAAGTTGATCTCTCACCGAAGAATTGGTTATATTGGATACAAAACACCAGAAGAAGCTGCAAAGGCAGTCAAATACTTCAACAAATCATTCGTACGAATGTCAAAAATTGGCGTGGAAATCGCCAGACCTGTAAGTGATCCTGAGAAAAAAAGAACATCAAATTGTGAAGAATCTATACTGAGATCGTGAAAGATATCAGATGCATCTTTACCTATATCGAGGAAAGCACAACGTGAACAAGAACGGGAAAATAACAAGCTGCGGCAACTGAAGCAAGAGGCGGATGCAAAAGTCTCTGAGAGCCTGAATACTGGAACCAAGCGGAAGCGAAGCGATGTCGATATTGCAGACCCCAAGCTACAGGAATTTTTAGAGGTGATGCAACCGGCCTCGAAATCGAACGCGAATATGTGGAAAGCTGGGACCATGGATGCTGATATGGAGGAACCGCCAACGAAGTTGCAGGCCATTGAAGTGCCAGAGGAGGAAAGCGACGACGAATATCAGTCCGTACCTAGTAAGGCTAAGAAGGCTCCTGCAAACCCCATCGAATCAAAAGCGCCTGTTGCACCGATTCCTTCAACTATTGTTGCCGACAGTGCAAACCAAGCGGATGAGGCGATGGTCGATGCACCTTCCAATGACGTTGAAGCCACGGATGATGATTGGCTGAGGAGTCATACGAATCGTCTATTAGATATAGTGGACCCGGAAGATATCATTCCCAAAACACAAAACTTAGACGTCAAGGATGTTGAAGAGGTGGTTGCAGGAGAAACAGAACCCAATACAGCAATTGAAGATACGGTTGTCGACGAAGCACAAGTCGTCGAAGAACAGACGGAGAATTCACCTTCAGAACTGGATGCGACACTTGAAACGATCAAAGCAAGTGGACGACTGTTCGTGCGAAACTTGCCATACAGTGCAACAGAGGATGACCTGCGGAAGCACTTTGAACAATACGGAACTTTAGAAGAGGTAAGCAACGAAACTTGTTCGCATGTTTTCTTTTCCTCCAAGCTTTGTGATGAATATCCAGATAGGGACAGCTTATGCTATAAAGCATGTGATGTGAACTGGACGAATATTTTAGTAGATGCTTCGTGTTTTCTGAAAGCTACCGTCAGCCATTTTTTGTCTGTTTTGATTTGTTTCCGTAGAGCTCACTGACCAAACATTTAGATACACTTACCAGTAGACGCCAAAGGTGCCAGCAAAGGATTTGTTCTTGTACAATACACAGACCCAAATGCTGCTGCTGAAGCATATCATAATGTCGATGGCGAACCTTTCCAAGGAAGGTTACTGCACATATTACCTGCTGCAGCTAAACGAGACAACAAGCTAGACGAGTTTGCGATAGCAAAGCTTCCCTTGAAGAAGCAAAGACTTCTCAAGAAGAAGGCCGATTCTTCTTCTAACACATTTAATTGGAACTCTTTGTATATGAATCAAGATGCAGTCAATTCATCGGTGGCTGAACGTTTGGGGGTATCGAAATCCGAGCTTCTTGACCCAACTTCGGCAGATGCTGGAGTCAAGCAAGCCATTGCTG